AGACCATCCCTATTCTGCTGGATCACACTCCAGGTCTTCAATATCCTTATCGACCCCATACAGACGAGGCAACTCTTCCTTCTTGTTCTCCTGCCCCTTATGTCTTTTCTTTTCCTTCAATATTTGTGCCTTTCATGACTGGTGGATATCTATATACTTCCTAAAGGCTCACCCAGTCCTTTCAAGTTTGTTATGGGCTTTCTCAGATTCCAAGAAGCCGCGGTTGAGAGTCTCTATGGATTGGGAGTTGCAGACTTTACACCATGATGCATGCTCGGAACTGTCTTCCTTCCTTCATCTTTGAGCTAGCCAGGAGTTCGCTGGGACCACTCTGAATGTTATGAGCCATAGCAGACTTGCCAGTTTGACTGGCCTTGTGCAGAATACTGATGACCAGGAGGGTTCAAACTTTAAAGATTGTGTTTGTGAGAGAGCTTTCTGAAATGAACCGAGTACCCGTAAAGTTCAACTTGCATACGACAGCGAACATCCACATGAGAGTTCACACATGAGAAGCCAAAACGAGATACAATCCACACTCGAGATGTCGTCACCAATATTATTGCCAATATACAAGAATATTTGTCACCAGCGGCTCTGCCGCACACACACACACACAGCGAGTCTCAACCAGATAGTGGCTATGGCTTCCCCCCTTCTCTCTCTCATTCCTCATCTCTCTCTCTCTCACCAACCCTGGATCGTCACCCTGGATGCGCCCACTCAGGTATCTTACACCTTGGCGGCTATGGCCGCCGTCCTCCTGCTCTACGTCTACCCTTGCTGTGGACCAACTCTCAGGCGCCCCCTTCTTCCTCAGGCACACAGTGCCCAAGTTGCCGTAACGCACAAGCAGCAGCAGCGCTTCCGCATCTCGCAACTGAACAAGTGACGAGTCGCTGCACTGTAGCAGCTAAATATAGGACTTGTCTTCGCTTGGCTTGGCTTGGCTTGGCCTGCTTCAGACCGGTACCGGTCAGCCGCGGCCTGTCTGCTGCAAACATTTTGTCGGCCCGGTACCTTCCGGACTTTCCTGGCACATGCCGCAAAATTGGACATGGGGACTGTCTGACTAGACTGGACACTTCTGAACTTTTCTTGTCGGGTACGGCACTTTGGTACCGACCGCTACAAACCTACGACACTTCGATCCTGGAGTCCTACGGCCTACCCTACAGACGGCCCTGGGACTTGTGACTTGTCAGGACCTTGGGACCGGGACTGGGTGTCTGCAGCATGAATCCTTTCATTTCTTCTTTTTGCCATCTTTTTTGTACAATGGAGGAAATCGTAATGGGTGTGGAGAACAACTTACAGCCTAGTTGAGGGGTATAATCTGTTATTTTGTACCTTCTTGCCACTGTGGTGGTGTCGCTGGGAATGCTCCAGGACCATTCGGTGGGGTCTACTTCTAGCTGCTGGATATCTGATTCAGGCTTGTATACTCTGTTCTTTGAACGTCTTCCTGATTCTTCTCAAGTTACTTACTTTAAAGGACCCCTCGGCTCTACTTTCTTTGCTAAGGTAGCTCGCTGTTTTCCTGGTTCTTCCAAGGGGAGAATGCTGCACCATATCCATTCATTGTTCCGGATTTCATTGCTTATTATGCTTAGGACTTCCTGTTTGTTCTTTCTGTGATGCCCAATCCCCCGGGAGCCACTTTTGTTCTGACCTTAGTAGACAGCACCATTCTACTGGGATGCTTTCGATGATAAGTGATAAGTTGGCTTGTAGGTTGTGACTTCCTTTTAGGACCGCTATTAAGGCTCTGACTTCCAGCTATTGGTAGTTTCATTCCATCGGTGTTGAATTTGCATATTCCTTTGACAGTGGGTGTCCCGGTTAGCTACTTGTGTCAAGCCAATGTCCCCATTTGGGGTCCGCTTTGGTAAGAGAAAGGCTTTCGCCCTTCTCATCCTTGCTCCGTCCACTTTCGTAGGAGAAGGCTTTCACCCTTCTCATCCTTGATCCAGGGACTGCGTTGCCTGAGAACCTCGTCCCTCCTTGTGGGTCCAAGTGTATTTTCCGGGATGATTTTTTTCCAGATGTATAGGAGTTTGTTCCCAAAAGGATTTAGAGGGCTCATTGTCCAATTGTTCCTCCAGGTTTAGCTGGAGGAGAATCAAAAGGGGCCATTGTCAGTTAAAGATCCAGAAGAGGCCCGACACGTTGGGTGGGGATTTATACGGGGCCAGTTCCTTGATGTGGTTTGGTGCTACGGGTACCCACTGCAGATTGCTCTGCAGAGTTAGTCTCAATATCCACTTGGTTTGCAGGGCCTGTACTTGACGTGCAGGATCTAGGAGACCCAGTCCTTATCTCTTGAGCAGAGTGACTCGCTCCCATGCTACTTTGTGGATGAAGTGTCGTTTGTCGGGATTGTAGGTCTATGGATATGCACATGCCCTTTTCTGATTTGTTGTTGGAAACCAGCCAATAGAAACCAAATCGAGGTAGCATAGCACATCATGGCTAATATTCCGTTGTTCAATGCTAAGACCCTGCCTAGGAGGGCTGTGTGAGATCGTTGCCAGCTGTGCATTTTATTGATCATGGAGGATAGCAGTGATGCCACTGATGAAGGGTGGCAACCTTTTATGCTACGCTGGATACCTAGGAAGTGGATTGGATACGCGGGGTCTGCCCATTGCATGCCTTCAGGGGTGATTTCTGTGGGAAGGGGGGAAGCTGAGATTGACTATCCGATTGTTTTTTCCCAATTGACTTGCATTTCGGATGCTAACTGAAAGGCCTGCATTGCTCTTGTCAGTGCCTGGAAAGACGAGTTAGAAGCTCTGATGGGAACGGCCAGGTCGTCCACGAATAGGGTGGTCGGGAGATGGAGGATATGGTCTCTCTCGTCCTTGATGTTTTCCAATTTTTCAATTGAGGCGCCCTTCCTTAGAAAGGCTGCGATAGCTTCCATGGCAAATAGGAAGACTGAGGGGTTGGACAGAAATCCGTTTACTTGGACTATTCCTTGAGCATCATCGTATAGGACCCTCACCCACTTGCGGAAGTTCGGACCTACTCCCATTTTTCCCATGCGGTTTTGTAGGCAGTCCCAGTTGATTGTCCTTCGCGACATCCGTTAAAATTGGAACGATACAGACAAGATTAGCATGACCCCTGCACAAGGATGACACACATAACTCGAGAAAATGTCCAAATTTGAAAAAGGAAGTCCCAGTTGACCTGGTCGTAGGCTTTTTTGAAGTCAAAGAACAAGATGGCTGCCATAATTTTCTTTTGGCTAATTATTCTGATGGATTCACTAAGAGTCGTAACGTTGTCTAGAATGAGCCTACCTGGGATGAACCCTGTCTGATCTAGGTGGAAGCAATTTCCAGTGAGGGGGTTCAATCCTAATATTCTACTATTTGTGCAATATGAAACACTTTTCACCTTTTGGCAGTCACGGATGCAGGCCCTAGAGTTCGATTCACTTTGTCCATGTACAGTATCAAGTCGACCCCTGAGTGTTTGAACCCGTGATCTGTGTTTTGGTAGTTGTTTGTCGTCTGTCGTAGGTCCGTGTAGCGGTAGGGGTTTGATCTGTAGGTCTGTCGATTAGGAGTCACAGCTCTGTAGAGGTCGAGGCTGTAGATGTTCTGAAAGGTCAAGGTCGTTGCTGCTACAGTCCTCAAAGGTCAAGGTCGTAGCTGCTACAGTACCCGAAAGGCCAAGTCCACAGCCTTCCGGAAGGTCCGGAAGTGGCTTTTCAAAGTGTCCCACGTTTAGTCAGAGGCAAGTGGTGGGCCTTTAGTCAGAGGCAAGTGGGCAAGTGGTGAGCCAACTGCGTTACGTCGGCAGTGCGACTGCATCGAGTTGGCCGTGCAAACCCATGCAGTCAGCGACACCGGTCCCAGTCAGTCAGAGTCCAGTCAAGCAAGTCCGTGTGGGACTGTGTGCAACAAGGGCCTGGGAAAGTGGCAGACCAACGAGTTACAGAAGTATAAATCAAGAGGCAGCGCCCAGCCATTCATTCATTCGCTGCGTAAGCCATGCGGAAGCGCTGCTACAGCGTCTTGTGCGAAGGTGGTCTGCAGGTTGCCCGAAGACGAAGTGGGCTGAAGGGAGATCGTAGCCATAGTTAGTAGTGGAAGAAAGCGGCCATAGCCGCTGTAGGAGGAAGTTAGACATAACGTACGTGTGTGGTGGTATTCAGGGTGATCCAGAGTGAGTGTGTGTGAACAGTGGGGTTGGACACAGTGACGAAGGTTGGGATGTTCAGGAGCTGATGCGCCATAGCCTGTTGAAGAGAACTTGCATCTGAACTGTGTTCTTGATTTCCATATCTCTAAGCTCTGAGTGGGCGCCCTGCGCCAGTGTGAGTCTCCATCTGTTTGCATGTGTGCGAAGTGGAAAGAAAGCGAGTCTGATTGCATTGGTATCAGAGCTGGTTCCCGTTACCCCACGCGCCATCGTCGTTGCCAGTGGGAAGGAGATGCGCGCGCCAGTTAGGCGCCATAGCCAAGTTGCACCATCGAAGAAGATCCGCCATAGCTGCGCTGCGGAGGGAGGTGCTGAGTACCTGCACAGAAGACAACGACGAAGAGAGAGAGAGAGAGAGAGAGAGAGAGAGAGAGAGAGAGAGAGAGAGAGAGAAGCGATACAAGATTGCTGTGCGGTCCAAAGAAGAAAGCGGCCATAGCCGCGGAGCTCGGACACAGGGTATCACGAAGGAGAGAGAAAGGTGAAGCGAAGGAGAAGGGAGGAGAGACAAAGGAGAGAGAAACCATAGACAAGGAAGAAGGAAGGAGGGACAACGAGAGTAGAGGAAGCCATAGCCGGGGTGAAGCGAGAAAAAGGAGAAAGAAAGAAGGAAGAAGGAGGATAAGGAGGTTGGCAAGGAAGAAAAGGGGGCGGCAGCCATAGCTAAGTTGAGGGTGACCAACGCGTTGACCAAGGGGTTAACCGAAGTTGACTTGGGAGTTGACTCAGGCGTTGACCAAGGTGTTGACCGAGGTTGACTAGAGTGTTGACTGGGGTTTTGACCGGCGTTGACCAACCGTTGACCAAGGCGTTGACCAGAGCTGTTGACCACAAATTTGACCAAGCTGGAGTTGGTATATTCTCGCCAAGCCTTCAGCCTATCCCCTCACCCTATGGATGTGCACTCACCCCATGCGAGGGAGTTGGATGTGATCAAGGAGCAACGAGCGCAGATCCAGGCACAAGCTGACATACACGAGAAATTAGATATTATGTCCAGGAACATTGAGCTCTTAGCCAAGGCCTGGGAGGAGCGGTATCAGTTTTCGAGAGCCCAAGATATGACCTTACACTCCATACGCTTAGGCTTCCGAGATTTCGCACGTGAGATGATGCGGCACGTAGGTGCTGAGGTGCAGGCACGATTGGAGGGCACGGAGAAGTTTTGTACAGGCCCCATTGAGAGCGCAAAGCTGGCTGTGCCAAAGGAGGAAGAGCTACGCCCCCGTAGAGAGCCCCTTAAGATGAAGTTTCCTGAGTCCTACGGCGGGAAAAAATAGGAAAATTTCGATAAGTGGGAGGCCAATGTAAATACATACGTTTATTTACAGCACATAGTGCCAGAGGAACAGGTCCTCATCGCCTTCCAGGCCCTCAAGGATGAGGCCGCCAGCTTTGCTAGATTGCTCGCTCGCGCTGCACAGTGCGAGAATAACATGGTCGCTTATTCTAAGCTCACCCCTCTCCCTGAGTTCTTTCGGCTCCTTAAGGAGCGATTTACAGATGTCACGCGAGGCATTAGGGCCTCTGACAAACTGCAGACTATCCACTCACGGCAGTGGAGGAGTGCCAGAGCACTCAAAGGCGTAATGGACGAGCTTGTAGCCGTCCTAGATCACGGGGTCACTGAGCCACAGTTGGTCAATCTCTTCTTTCGTGCCATGCCAGAGCCCCTACGTGTGCACTTCTTTGAGAAGAGCCGACAACCCACCATGACATACGATGCGTTAAGTAGAGAGGTGGTGCTGTTTGAGGCGCAGTTCATGCCAGTATCCACTTTCTGGCACAAGGACCTGGACAAGGGTAAAAAGTGGAAAGGGCGTATTATGTATGGCCAGGTTAGGGCCAAGGATCATTTGATCCTTATGCTAGACGAGGGCGGTACGGACGAGGTCCCATACAGCTAGATTGAGTGGGGCCTAGAGGAGGAGGACAGTAGTGGGGGTCAGAGGAGGACCTACGCTGTTGTCGCGGCTGGCGGGAGGCCGCAAGGTAGAGGAGGAGGCCAGGGCCAAGGGGGCCGGGCCGGGCCTCAGGTGGCCTAGGACAGGGCGCTCAGGGGGTTGGTGGTAGAGGAAACTGCCAAGAGGGAGGTAGGGGTCAAGGTCCCCCGCCAAATCGCTCACGATCTTACCGGTCACCTCCAAGGAGAGGTGGATGGCACCCTGGCTTGCCACAGGGAAGGCCATGGGAAGACCTGGGCTTGGACCAGACTGTGTGGCAGCGTCGTGTGGACCAGAATCAGTGCATTTACTGCGGTGATCCTGGCCACATAATTAAATATTGTCCAAAGTACAGAGAAGCCCGGTATGCTGCACAAGCAGCAAAAGGCAACCGCCGGTAGGGGTGGCAACTGCCCCAACCCCTAGGTCATGTGGAGAAGAGTGCGCGCACCATAGAAGAACTCCCAAACCACATGAGCCTACGGCAGAGGTTGCTGGCCAGTACCTAGACAGCTGTCCAGAGACTGCTTGTGTAAGCGTCTCCCTAGGTACTTCCCAGGGATGTCACGCGGGGACCCCCGGGGGCGAAGCCGGGGTGGTGGTTGCCCCCCCGRAGCCCCGGGTCCGGGGTCCCCGACCACCGCCACCAGCCCCGACACCCCCGCCACCACCCGACCCCGGTGACCCCGCCACCAACCCCGCTACACCGCCCCGGAACCCCGCAGCACCGGCCCAGAACCTCGCCACACCGGCCCGGAACCCCGCAGCGAACCCCGTCCAGGCAACCCCGACCCCCGCCACCCAGGCGGGCCACCGCCGGCGCTGTCCCCGCACTACACCACCGCTCCCCACCCCGCGACCCCGCACCCCCCATCGGCGCCCTACCCCCGCCACCGGCGCCCTACCCCCGCCACCGGCGCCGCTACCCCGCAACCCCGGCCTGAACCCGACCCCGCGCTCTGACCCCCGCCACTAGCCGACCAACCCCACGGCCCCGCACCACCGCACCCGCGGACCCCGCAACAGTAATGAGAAGACATTGTCGTATGGCCATACGGGGATGGGGTGGTAAATGGGGGAGGCCGCCGCAAGGGGTGCACTAGCGGAAGGAAGTACTTTGTAGATTTTTTTTTTTTTTTTTGCGGTAAATCATGTAAATGGTCTGTTTTTTTTTTGTTTTTTTTTTTCCATGTAATGAGAGCATTGAGAGGAAATGCTCATGTCGCCCTGTGGGGACAGGTTGGTGAATGGGGGTGGGCGCCGCAGGTCCGTAAGGGCCGCAAGGGGTGCGAAAGCGGGAGGAACTACTTTGTACTAAGATTGTAGTGTTTTTTTTTTTTTTT